AAGACTACTTTACTTACTTCGTAAGATTAGACTAGAAAACGTCCGAATAACAAATACACCGCGTCTTAAAAAATTCAAGTCGTTTTTGAAGCTGTCCAAACTCAGTAATTTCTTCCCCACAGAGGAAAAAAAAATTTTTCAGATTCATTGAACCTACTGATAATGGTTGCGAAATTCGAGCGTACTTATCAAAGACACAAAAAGACTCGCTGACAGATTCAGGAAACTTTTTTTATTATTAAACTGGATCTTGATAAAAACATAAGAAATTTTCGGTGGCTGCTTCGGTAGAAACTGCCCTTTTAACAAAACGAATATGACTCACTACACAACACTTAGCGTAAACAAATTTACACCTTCTTTTTACCGTCGCGAAAACTAACGGCTAGCAGCAGTCTCATTTTAACAATGATTCCAGTTTTTAACAAACACTACTTCCGTTACCTTCTTTAAAGAAATTTTCAAATCATTCGCTAATCACAATTAGACTTGAAACGTCAGTTTAGAATGAACCTGGCCCTACTTATGCCGAAATAACGCACACTGTGAAACACCTGCTTTTCTTAACAGCGATAACGACACGCGCGCTAATTAAATTTGGCCTGATAAAAATTCCATATCGCAAACAGCCAGATGTGTCTAACGTAAAGCATCTTATCTAATAAAATAGTTTCATCTTATCTAAATTAAACAATTTACAAAATCGATCAAAGTAAAACGAAAAAATTACGGGTCTAACAAATTTCTAAGAGGTCAAACAAACATTGAGGTACAAATTCAAGAGAAACAATCGAACTGTGAGGTTATTTCGTAAATAATCCCACAGATTTACTTTACTAAATTGAAATATTGTCGTATACAGGATGTCACGTCATTATCGTTGATGAATAATGTTTACATGACGTTGCCTACACAACAATACAGTTACAGACCGGGTCACAAGGCAGTCTTGAAGTTTTATTTAAAATTCTTATTTTAGTGAATATCTTGATCAAGTGTCATTGTTTTTCTGATCCGAACATTGATTGCCATCGTGTAAAAAATGCTTCAAATTTGCTATTAACCAACTTCGTAGTTGCAATAATAACAAAGTTAGTAAAAGTGCTGACTTCACTTTGCATACCACATTCCAAGTACCTTGTGGCATATGACAATAAATTGATATTGGATTGGATTTTATTTGCTTTAGAAAATATTTAGTTGTTGAAAGTAATTAAATACTGCAAACTTATTTATGATTAGCCGTCAACCAAGTAACTTAAATCAATACGGAAGCACTTTAATTATTAAACCTTGAAGACAAAATGAAAATAGCAATAAAATGGTAACAAACGTACACATTCATTTGTTTTATTTTGATGTAGGGTATCTAGATTAATGTTATTGATGTAGTTGTACTCGGAATACATTTTTTTGAAAAATTTTCTTGTATTAGTAACATGTTACATCATTGAAAGGAGAAAAAAATCTCTATCAAATGAGCCTAAGGAAATCGTCTACCGCCATTAAAAAAATTCAATTGTTTTTCGTTACTCATTTGTTTTCTGAAATAAAAACAACTGAACGCTGCCATATTATGGGAAATAACAATTTTCATATAAAAAAATTTGTATACATTCGATATTTACCGAGATATTTACTATATTCCATACATAATGGGCACCCTGTATATCAAAAGTGTTTGCATATTTTGCACTAATTTTCTGCATATATATATGCGCATACGTGATCATTTTTTCATGCATACAATGCGCAGATTTCAAAGCATTGCATCAAGTCTTTATTTTCCTAACTACACACAGAAAATGCAGTAAATCAAGCTTTGAAAACTTATTCCAGGCTAACTGTTCGCACCTGTTCATATCAGTTACCTATACCACCTCAAAATTAAAAAAAGAATTTTGTTAAAAAAGGAGTACATAATATATGATGTTGTTTTCTAAAATAGGTATCTCTAACGTTTAATCATCATGCAGGAATGCCAATCGGCAAACATGTATTGAAATGTATCGGTTTCCTTCGAGCCACCGCAATTGCATGTGGGTATTTACTGCTAATAGTTACATTCCCTAAGAACGCTTTACAGAGAACAGTAAGCCATCATGTCACTGAGAAGCTTTCAATTGAATGTTCAGAAATAGTTAGTTCTAAGGATATGCCGCGTAGGTTTTTCTTTCCGTTTAAATAAATACGAGGAAAACGTACGGAGTGGAAACTTCTGTGAGAGTTATTCTGCTCTATATTTGCCAAACGAAAGGGAAATATTTACCGAAGAAAGTGTCCATGTATAGTATACGCTTGTTCAACTTTCGCTTATTTATTTACCGCCTTTCCTCGTTTTTTCTTGCACGCGTTTAATTTTTAATATAACTTTTTGGTATTGCGTTAGTTTTTGTTTACGTCATTGAGGGACACCCAGTTAATCTTTAGGCACATACTATGAAGGGACATTTTGAAGAACCTGTATAAAAACACATTTTATTTACTGGGATAATTTAAATGGTTTTGGACGGCTTGACATTAGAAGGAATTTTAATCAATGCTAATATATATTCTGAAGTAGCTTCTAACTGAAAATTGCCCCCTCCCCCCACCCTCGCTTTGAAGATTGAAAATTCTATTGATATAAACCCCCACTACGTATTTTGTAGCTGGTATCTGTGCCACCTGGTACATCTGGTTATGCGATCAATTGCACCATTTCAATTAAGGGTAGCGTCATCACGGTTAAACCATGACAAATTTTATAAAAGTGGGTGGGGGAGCAACTTAACGTTTTTAAATGTTTTCTATCATGTTTCCATCTGGTTATACGCTCATTGGCAACACTTGAATTAATATTCGGAAGTAATCGGAATTTTCTGGTTTTTTAAAGCATGATAATAACTCTTTAATTTCGCATTTTTTCCTCTAATTTGACCATCGTCGTAGCTTCTATGGTTTCGGAGACCCCCGATAGACATCCTTATCTTGGACACAGTCATGTGCATCAAAGCAATAAGTTTTTCAGTTTTCCCGATGAAATTAGTGCATAAATAAAGATTTGCTTTGCCAACGTTACCCTTAAGGAAGTATGATGCCGTAGTAAGACGATGTGTTTTGCCGTTTTCCCGACGAAATTGGTGACTAATTGAACATTTTGGGTCAAATTTGGGCATTATCCCGAATTAGGGGGAAACCTTGGTGCAGTAATAGGGGACCTACAGCTATCAAACGAAACATCAACGAGCTTTGTAGGACTGTCTTGTGTCGAGATCACATCGCTCACACTGACGAACGGACAGAAAACGGTAGAAATAATCTTGATTAGGCGATCGATACGGAACATGTACAAGAATTGGAATAATTACGAAAGGAATATGAAGGACTATAAGCGACAGCATAGATTACGGGCTAGTTACACAGCGAAGGCGACGATTCTGCTATCGACGAAGCTCTCACGGTGTGATACAAATAAGTTCGACGAAAATGGCGTGCGGCTTCTAAACATACACACTCATTATTATTAGTGATTGTACGCCAACATGTTACTTTCATTCTTCTTTGATTGTTGTCCTTCGATGAATGCGCCCGCCATAACAAGTGGGAACAGGGATAGGCGATATAAATATATACAGGGCGTGCTAGGATAGTTTAGGGACGCAACAACTATTATACATATTAAAGTTACCAATAATTCCTTAAATATATAAATTTATTGATTGCGAATAATAATAATTGTATTTATTGTTCAACAGATAATAATTCCAGTAACAGAACAATATAAGAATGCAGTGTAAGAAATATCACGCAAGAAAAAAATAGTTTCAGCTATTAAGATACGAGTATGAGAATTACGAAACGAGTAAGGACGTCAAGTAGGGACAATCTACTTGATTGTCAACTTTAAACTATTATTAATACGTTTACTTTTGACAGATACCATTTGAAATCTCGCCAGCAATTCAAAACCTCGTCAAATTATGAAAGTAACCCGATAGGGTTCAAAAATACTGGGGACTATGTAACTATTTATGTACAGAAGAACAGATTAAAAGTAATTCCTACAGCGAAGATATAAACAGGTAACAGATTTCTACTTATCACGAGATGGTTGGTGGAAGAGTGGCGGACTGCTTCTAGCTACTGCCAATGATTATTTAATATTTATTGATCGCCAACTTGACAGTATTTTGAATGATTCATAGATATTAATTCCATTTATGTGTGCCCTCTCGATCCATTTGTTTCCTCAAAATCCTTTTGTCTTCCCCGCAGTAGAATTCGTAGGCGCCCTTAGTGCTACACTTAGACTTGCAACTCACGATCCAGTCTATAAGACTAAGAAACCCATCCGAAACTTAGCATTATTTTAAATGTTTACGCTTAAATACTTAACTTAAGCTTTAGGAACGTAAAGCAAATGTAGTCGGTTTGACGATAAATGATAGAGCATTCGCTCGACATATTTTGAATAGAAAAATTCAGGAAGGTGCAAAAAACTTTTCCTGCTTTCAACATATCTACCTTTTTGATTTGTGCGACGTTCAACTTTATATAAAAGATGTAATCGACCTCTAACATGGATAAATGTGGGGAATCAAATAAGATATAAAGTTATTTAAGGTTAAGATGAGTAAGATCTATTTGGGGTTTTACCTCAAAGTACTTACCTGTAGTAGCGTAGTTGTAAGCGTAATGCTCATCTGGCTAGAATAATGTGGTGCGCAAAATTGTATACGACTTCCTTGGTATTATCAAGAGAAAGGTTGAGCTACATAAATTCAAAACATATGCATTAAATTAACTCCTAAAATTTAGTTTCGCTAGAATACTAATACTAGTTTAGCGTAACCGTTAGACCGTAAAATTATCCAATACTATTATATGAGTTCTCTGTAACCAAGTTTTACCCTAGCCATCAACCCTTGATCACTCCAGAACCCCAAGAGCGAGAGCAGCAGGACATCGCGCGCATCCTGTTCGCATGGCAGAATTATTCGCAGGATCAGTCGATGTGCGTTTGTCGACCGGGATTCATCCCTCTAGTGCAATGGTGTTATATTAGCATGGGTTAGCTATGAGCAGAGCACCGCTGTTATGGTGCTGGTTGGCGCTGCTTTTTTGTTCAGGTATTGATTACACTTTACATAATCTCTTGCACTTTTTTTCCTTTAGAGAAATTTCGCAACTTCGCCATAACTTTGTAGCAAATCTGAGACATGTCCGATGCACGCAGTCTCTTTAAATTCTGATAAACATAAATTGTTATTTTCCACGTGATTATCCGCATTTCATTTAAACAATTTATTCAATGAGAATGGCGCATGTCTCTATCTACATCAGTGAACGCATCATTAAAACTCTGATAGAAAGGTAACACAATTACCCATTTAATTAAATTGTACTAAAATTGCACTACATTTACGCACGCCTTTGCATCGAGTCTCCTATAAATTGCACCTAGAAAGGGCGGAATTAGCATTTTAATACCCTAATTTATTTTATACGGCCAATAAGTATGTAAACATTAGGTATTCCCAAGTCCGAAGATAATCCGGATAATGTCAACACGTTCCAAAATTTCTACCTCCGCGTTTTTGTACAAATATATATACCTATATACAAAAGAAAGCGTATATTTGGATTTGCTCGATTTATTTGTCCGTCAATAACTAACGGGGAAAAATTCCATTTTGGAACTAATAAGCTTCCGGAGCAAAAAGAATATCCGCCGTTTTTGTTTTCGAGTGACTATAAAATCTATGTGACACTAAGGCCAACTCCATTAAAGTAGTCCATCGGGAATTTCTGTACAGTTAAAGGCTAAGTTGAAGTTGTCCGTTCTTCCGAGACCGAGACATAATTGAAATGTATGTACAGACTTTCTTGGCACTTTTAGGAGGAAAATACACGTTCAGTTTCTGACATATAAACGAATTGACTTTTAAGGAAATTTATTGCCCTACATAATTGAACTTAATGTATCGGAGCATGCTAGTTCAAATTTAAATGTATGAAATCTCAAAGGGTGTTTGAACTGATCTAAAGTAATACGTCCAAGCATTTTATGTATCCAAAACTAATGGAGTGGAATAAAACGATATCATGAATTTTATATACAAAACCTCTAACGGTATCATACGCAGACAAATAAAAAACTTTCCGAATTTCGGATAGCGAAATTTTGCAAATAATGTCACAATAAATTCTTTTCAAACGTAATCTTCTTAGACAAAAAATAATCTAACTGTAGCTTATAGGCTTTCGGTTAAGCAGTTTCATCCGCCATACTCACAAATTCCGTGTATGTTCTCTGCATATTTGATCATTTCATTTCGTAATCGTAACTCAAATCTAATGTTTAAAGTAGCACTGAATAACGAAGCAGATGATATAGTTCGGAGTTTAACTAAGAAGTTTACTATGATGGTGTGATAAAAACTTGTTTTGGAAGTGATGCATATTCATTGAGCTAAAATCTTCAGAATAAATTGGTTTATAAACTTTTACTTCACTGTTTTGTTGTTTATTTCATTATTATTACTCATATATAATGCCTTCTTCTTTGTTGGATGCAGAATTTCATTTAAATTCAAAATGCATACTAATTTCTTTAATTGAATGTTTGGTTTCACCAAAGTACTCTTTAGTTCCACGTTACTTTCGAGTCAATGATATACTGCAATGAGCGCAAAGCGAGGTTATTACGATTTATCAACCACGTTTCGCTAAACGTGATGGAAAGTAAGCGTATGCACGAATGTTAACTCTACTTCGCATCAAACTTGGGAGTATTAGGATCACTTACAATTCGAACCCTTTTTGAGGATCTGAAAGCAGACTTGGTTACATCGGTTGAAAAGGATTGACCTCGAGTCCAGAATTTAGCTCTGGTTACAGGTAAAGGTTTTGGTTCAAGTATAACTTGTCGGTCGCTTTCATTTGCAGCATCTCGCAGAAATGATTTGACGGATGAAAATGTTTCTTACTAAGGAAAAAGCTGTATATTTCTGTTCCTGTGTTTTTTTTAATTTATTGTTTTTTTATTTATATATTATTTTTTATGTTTATTCATTTTATTTTTATTACTGTTGTTTCTTTTTGTTTTGTTTTTTTTAATTCATCATGGACTACTTGATTAAAATATAAAAACCGTTGATATAACTGATATCTTATTATTTTTCAGTCTTATGCTATGATAGCTCGTTGAAAAGAGAATCAAAAAAATTTATTAAGCAATCTAAAAATCCGATATCAACTTTAGAAAGTTGATAAATGTTTCTCAAAAGTAGCCATCTTGAATTTTTTTTAACATCAATTCTAAATGAAGCGTATGAAAGACAGTAACTTTTACATAAAACTCTCTCATACTTTCGATGATATAAGACATTAAAGGAAATGACCGATTTTAGTATATATTTTTGAATTTACGTCGAACCTATTCAACATTTTGAATTTCCACAAGGAAATTTTAAATAAGCATCTAAAACTGCAAAACATTGTCTATTGACCCAATTATCTATCTTTAATAATAACAAGGAGACCCATGCAATCCCACCCAATCTGGGACACACTATATACTGATATCTTGCGTTTGGTTTTGAGATTCAAAAAATGTATCGAAGGGAGGACTCGAACACTTCTAAAGGTTCTACAATGTACACGGTTCCGTCCAAAAATCTGGGTTCGAATGTGTAATGTGATTTGACGATTCCCTCCCATCGTCCTGTTGCCTTTTTCTGTAACATTAAGTCCTACTACGACAAAAACGTTATTGATGGGAAATGAATGAGATGTTGGTGCCAAAGGAGTTGAAACTTCAACGTCTTGACGATATGAGAGACGAGCACGTATTGTTTGACGTTAGTGCATTAAATCATCGAAGAACAAAACATACTCATTATTTCAATTTCGAAGTACATTGGGAGCGAAAAATAATGAAACCCTTATTTAACAGTTTTATCCCAAGACGGCCATTTGCAGTATAATTAAGCCCGCCATCAAGTATACCTAAATTAATACAAACGGAGGATCTTTTCGGTAGTCACATTAAATAATCAGTAATAGCATTGGATAATATTTACTACATTAAATTTAGTATGGAGAATGTAATAAAATAATGCTATATTCTTTTTACACATATAGGTACTGTCGTTTTTCCAAGGTTTTCTTACAATGTCTGGAATTCTAAAGCGTTCCACGAACATTTCTTTTCAGTGTACCATTTTGATTGTGGGAATAATTCAACTTAGAAACTTAGATAAAGCACAGTTTTAAACATGTGGGGTTTATCTTTAAAAATCACGTCTTTATTAGTGCCGTATCTGAGGTAATATTATCTTTGCACGGCCTGTGTAGTTGGGTGGATTGGATATGACAGACAAGGTTCGTTGTTCGAATCCGGGTTCGAGCATGAAAGTCTTGTAAGTGCATAATGGTTCGGATATGTAGAGCACCACAGCCATGGGGTCAACTCCACGTCAAGATATAGTGTCGAGAATATAATTAGTTTGTAGATCAAATAGATTTCAAAAATTTAAGACGCCAAAAAAGAAAAAAAACGGATTTTTGTACCTTGGTTAAATATCAATATACGTAACGGTTATTGCATAAATAATAAACATGGTCCTTCGAGCACGGATATTGAATTATCGAAGAAACCGGTGTTCCGGAGAATCTCGCGATGTTGGAATTTCAGTTAGGAGAGTGATTGGTTTCAATTTGGATAGATCCTAGTTTGCGTTTGTGGGACGTGTTTGGTTTGCTGGAAATTATCCAGGTGCTCCAGGAGAAGAATTTTAGTCAACATTTGGTAGATTACGTTTGGCAAGTCAGCTGGTGATGGAAGTTACGGATCGATAGCGATTGTTGGCCAGTTTTGAGAGAACGCAGAGTGCTGTTGAGAAATTTTGGCGTAGAATTTGTAATTGCTTCAACTGATTTTGTGTTGCCATATCGTTTGAAAGATATTTCATGTATTGGAGTATAGTAATTTAAATTATAAAAGCACTAAACCTTCCCCATACTTCATTTAATTGTTTCAGATTTTAAATTCAGACATTATGTGACAGCACAGCGACTATAGTTTCGACCCTGAGGTCATTATCAAGCTTCAGTTTGAAGGAACATATAAATAAAAACTATAGTCGCTGTGCTGTCACATAATGTCTGAATTTAAAATCTGAAACAATTAAATGAAGTATGGGGAAGGTTTAGTGCTTTTATAATTTCCACTTAGTCAATTTCACCCCGTTTTGAGTCGTTATAAGATGGATAGCTACCAATTATAGTAATTTAATTGTCGGGCGCAACTTTGAGTTTCGAGTGAGTAGTGCGTTGTGATTGTATTTTTAAGCCTTTCATTTAAAATGACAGTATAAATGGTGATATCACCAGAAGCATGAGAATAGAAAGAAGTGCTATGAAACAAATGTTTACTAATAGCAAGGCAACTAGCTCGAAATCCACTGAAGGAAAGTAATCAAAATTTTAACCGATGGAGTTCCACTTGTGCCTATCCGAGTATGCTAAAGTCAACCGTTTGCCGCCTCAGGTTATGTGACTTAAGGGGTACTTTTTGCGGTAGCAATTCTAAATGATTTTTTTTAGAAAATAAGTTATATGTACCTATTGAACACGGTGATAATAGCTCTTAAAAAAATATTTGAACAAATCGCGAACACGTGATAACTCCGTAAAAAACATTCTTAATCGGTTTTTCACGAACTTTCCACGGATATAACTAGGTTACGGTTGGATGAATGAAGCTGATTTTTTTACAGACTATAATGATATAGGTACTGTCAATGACTAGGACAGTGTTTCTTTTATACATTTTTTCTCTAATTATAAGATTTTATGATCTTATTTTTATAAGATATCTTATAATTAGAGAAAAATTTGAAAAAAGAAACACCGCCAAGCGATTAAGAGTACTTATCATTAGTCTGTAAAAAAATCAGCTTCATTCATCCAACCGGAACTTAGTTATATGTGTAGAAAGTTTGTGAAAAACCGACCCAGAATTGTTTTGTACGGAGTTATCAAGTGTTTGCGATTTTTTTAAAATATTTTTAGAGCTATTATCAACGTTTTCAATTGGTGCATAACTTATTAAAAAAAAACATTT